ACCCAAAATGGTTTTGTGGTTCTAAACTAATAAAGAGGAAATTGTTTCAAAACAAAATTGTTGAGTAGAACTTAAGTCACACTGGTTAAAGGAAAAGAAAAAAGAAAAATGCAAGGATTTTAGCTATTAATGTGAATTAATACATGATAATCAAACTATACTAAAAGGAAAAAAAAAATGTTAATTGCACTAAGGGTGGAGCTTCCTTACACTACAGAAACCTTCTATTTCTACTATGTGAAGGAATAATCTTGTAGTTGATCTAGAAAATCCACCAATTAGAAGACCCATCAGTGAAGTTGCCATGATTTCAATTCATTTTTTTATTTACCAAAAACTATTCATTTTTTTTAATATAAAGGCTGTCAATGGAAGAAAGTCTATTTTGAGCTCCAAACTAAGTTGTAACATGAAAGATTTCTAGGAAATTCACTAAACAAACCTACTAGCAAACCCTTTTCCATACTAAAATACCCATTAAATAAAATAAATTAAATTATATCAAAGAGATTTTAAAATTAATTTAATATATATAAAAACCATTAGACTGAAAGCCAAATACAAAATGATTTGAATTAAAAAATAATAAATCTAAATATATTAGAGATATCAACTAATTAACTAATTAATTACATAGCTTTTCCTAGAATTAGTTCAATACTACTGCCATATGTCACTTGTTATTTAGGATAAAAGCAACATTGTTTTTCCTAATTTGTTTTTTATTCCCAAAGCTAGTAAAGAGCACTTGTATAAGAGAGACTCTCTTCAGGGGAAATATAAAAGAAAAAGGAAAAGGAGAAATTTCCTTTCATTAGGGAATCAAAGAAGATAGAAAGATAGCAAAAACTCTCTTCAATTTTTGAGTTTAAATAAAAGAAAAAAATCAAAGGAAAGTTCAAATATGTTTAAGGAGATCAACTTGAAGCAATAGAAAACAGATGTTATGAAAAAACATGTAAAAAGGCTAGAAAAAAATGATCCAACACCACTCTCCCCTAGATGTCATTGTAAATGTGGTGTTTGGCAAGGTTTTTAAAACCGACCCAGACAACGAACCAATCGGGGGTCCAGTTCCCGTGTTGAATGGTTCGACCGTTCGAACCAAACGGATGGCCCATTTTGAAAAAAATTAAAAAATAAAAACTGGCCAAAACATTGAACAAATCAACGGTTTTGGGGAAATAACGATTCTGGAGTAAAATGGACCGGTCACCGGGTTTTTATGGTCCAACCATCCGGTCTGATCCGGTTTTGAAAACCATGGTGTTTGATTCATCAGCTTGTGGAATGCTGGAAATGCCAAAAAATAGTATTTTTCCGTTTGGTATTGTACAAACTGAAAGACCAGAAAATGAGCATGCAGAATGACCTAAAACAGCAAAAAAATGGAAGTTATAAATGAAACTTTTGGTCTTTCCGCTTTGAAAATATCCTTTTCAACTATTTTCAACAGCCCAATAAACCACAACGCTTACCAAACAGTCTTGGTCTTTAAAAACAAGACCCTAAAAGCTCAGCGTGTCTTCTCATCTACTAAGCTGTTAAAAGATCTACCTAAAAAAGGCTTGCCAAACACAATCAAAGTTTTCTATTCTGTTCAAGCTTCCGCCATGGTTTAATATATCATTTGTTTTTTTTTTATTATTATTATAAGCTATATTCTGAGTGTGTCTCCCCAAATTTCACTCGAAGGAGATGCAAATTTTTTATCACTTTATGTTGGTGAATTGACCATAACAAACCAGCCTGCTCTCTAGCTCGACCATGCTCTATTGATTTACCTATTGTGTTATGTGGTCTATAGCTCCTGGTTATAACCTCCTTCATGAAGATTTGATGATTTAATGGGTTTGATGCAATGGAATCAGGTTATTTGAGTGTTTTGTAAAGCTCTCCCATATCATCTTTAACTCTTAGCACTAGTGTTGTCAAACTTAATTAGATCAAAATAGAGAACCATTTTAATGACTAGGTCATATATCAACCTCTCAATCCATTTAAATAAGTGATTTTTAGCTTACACTCCATCTCAGAATTTAGATTTGAACTGTAGACCTATAACAATTCAAATTTATGAACAGATCCACCTATAACACCCATACTCAAATTGGCATCAATTCCGAGCTGGCACCTACCCCCAACTGTATGGTGGAGCTAGGATTTCAGAGGTGGACTGAACGGTAAAAGCCCCTTTAAATAAAAATTCAAAAAATAAAAAAAATGAAATGTGTTCTAAATATTTTAGTTATTTTAAATTAAAATATGCTTAAAATGATAAATATTATAAGATATTACACATTTTTTCTCAAGAAACAAAATATTCAAAGCCAATAAAAAATAAACAAGACCATTAACCAATACGAAGCAACAAAATCCCAAAATAGTTTTCTTGGAGAAGTAATCTTGCCTCTCTTGGAACCTTATTAATGGCATTGTAAGCATAGTAGTTTCCTTTATTAATATCCTCATTAGCAAAGAAGTCGGCACATTTGTTCCCTTCTCTTAATGTATGAGAGAAAGAAAGGTGCATAACAGCACATGTTTTCTCAATTTTCTAAAGGGATATAAGATAGATGCCAAGGGTGGGGAATTTTTCCAAGGAGAATATCAATTTTACACATATAAATAGGATTTATTTGACTAAGGTTAATTTTATTTGGTCCCATTGTTGCTTCTACCTGAAATGTTTTGGATTGATGAATACTAATTGGTGAGAAATACGTGTTGTCACATCACATATAGGAGTTACTTCATCTAGAAAAATTATGTGTGATTATATATGTATGTATTATTTATAATGATACATACATACATACATACATACATACATACATACATACATACATAAAAGGTTGGGCCTAAACACAAAACCTAGGCCCTAGCCTCAAAATTCCAGGCCAATTGATCTGGCTCAAGTACAACATTGATGATTTCTAATACATCTTTCTTTTAACTTTAGTCAATGGATTTAATCATTCTTTTTCTATAATAATATTTTTTTATTTATTTGAATTAATTAGACTAATTTATTGAACCCAATCTTCAAATCTTGACTCTCCAAAATCATCTATTATCTATATTAATATGAACAATAATTGCTTAACAAAATTTTCATCAGTTCTACTCAGCCTTAATCTCAATTATTTGGAATCAGTTAAACAAATCTTGTCCTATTGTCCTATTTTATCGGGTTCACATCAGCACCCCACGATACCCCACAGCACATCCCAACCACATGAATTAGGAACCTCCCGATGACAAGTACCGGAGATATTCTCAATGTACGCTGAGATGTGCATGTGGGGCATACGTTGATGTGATCTCTCCTCTATCTATCAAGAGTAGTCTGTCAAATTGTGTCTTAAATCATTTTCTACCACTTCAAAACCATGTTTTATTTGGTCTTTCCCTCTGATGGACTCATTTATGATTCTCTTTCTAGTCTTACCACTCATTCATTCACCTCAACATCCTCATCATATATATATAGAAGAAGAAATTTATTTGTTTTTACAATTATCCCACTCAAATAAAATAGTAGGGGGTCAAATAAAATTTAACTTTTTAATGAGGTCTTTTTTTATGGTTTTAAAAGGCTTAAGAGGTATGCCCCCACTGATCAAAGGTCCTAAATCCGCCACTGACACTATCCCAAATATAAATTCTGATTTTTTAACTGTCTAAAAATTTCCCCACTAGTTATCTTCCCATTTCAAGTTTTCAACCACTCTTCCTAATTCTATGGGCAAAATCTTCTTTAATTTCTCCCTCATCAAAGGATGATTGATCGTAGCTATCAAAAGCAGTCATATAGTTTGGAGCATCTCTTCATTATTAATCTTATTTACACTATCATTGTTACTATGCTTTCACTAAAATTGCATACATCCATTACTATATTTATCTTAAAATATTATATTCTAAATTGTTCTATCTCTGCATCCACCCCATCTTTAACTTTGTTAATCAATACTCTATCATCAATGAATAAATACAACATGAATCCATAACTAATGAGAACTTTATTTGGTTCAATTAGACATTTTAGCTGATTGAACTAATTTTGGAGAGGAAAACCTCTTCTCTCCAAAATCATCTATTTATCAACATTGATATAAGCAATAATTGCTCAAACTGGAGTGAATGAGAGGGGGGGGGGTGTTATGGTGGAGATAGCTTATGATAGGGCTGCTACTATTTGGCACAGATCAACCTAAAACTCAACCAACCAACCCAAAATTGGGCAGGAATGGATTCATTAATCATTACTAAATGTTTAGGTAATTTTAGTTTAGTTATTTCACAAAAACAATACTAAACCAAAACCCTTAAGAAACCCAACTGGTACTGAATTCAACCCATCCCAACCCAACCAAATTTTGAAAGTTAAATTAGATTACTTGGGTTAGGTGAAGTTGGGTTGGACTCATTGGATTAGTGCTTGGGTGGTTGGGTTGAGGTCCCTTTGGCTCGGGTTGGGCTTGGGTCGACCCGGCCCGAGTTGCAAGTTGCAATGATGTAGTATGAATATGGTAAGAAAGATAGCTTGGGGATGAAGGTAGAGAAAAGAGGAATTGGAAGGTAAGTTAAAAAGGTAACTAACAAAGGCTTATGGGTTATGGCTAAAGATAATCAGAATTGAGAAAGAATAGATTGCTCATAGATCCGAGGCTTTCTTCTATTAGAACCTTATAAAAATGGGTCTGGCAGGGTACCAAGGTAATTCTTGAAATTGTCTAGGGCGTTTTGGTAATAAAAAGAGGAAGAAAGGATTCTTGCCGTTAAGATTTTTTTGCCAGTTACCAGTAACGGCAAACGAACTAACCACAGTCAATGCTGTCGCTGTGAAGTGTAGATGCAGCAAGGAGTGAAGCAGCTTCCCAAATTTTGAAAAAGGTAGTGGCAGTTTTCGATATTCCGTGGAAAAAGTAGGGGCATTCGGGTCTTTTAAGTCAGAGAAGGAGTAGAAAACTGGGGAGAGGGGATGGAGGAAGGTGGAAGCCGGAAGGTGTGTTTTCCACCTTTTTTTTATTTTTTTAAAAAATCTGCTTATGTTTATTTTCTCTCTCTCTCTCTTGGTTTGGAGGTTTTTGCAGGAGACAAGCAAGTTGAATCTCTCTCTCTCTCTCTCTCTCTCTCTCTCTCTCTCTCTGAAGGTGGCGATGGAGATCCATTGCAGACCCAGTACTGTGTGTGCTCCACTTTGATTGACTCTGTCTCCAAATCTTCTGATTTGAACTCCAATGCCTTCTGCAGGTGTGCAAATCGCGCTCATTTTGCCTCTTTTGCATTTCTACTGCTCCCGTTTTCCTCTCTGGTTTTATATCTCTTTCTCCCGCTTGTCTCTTGGAGTTCTGAATCTGGATTTAGGGTTTCTGATCTCCCATTCCTTTGTCTTTTACCACAATGGGAATGCGGGTACGTTTTGTTCTCTGATTTGGGATTTCGGTTTTGGTATTAGTTTCCGGATGTTGGGAAAGATGGGCTCTGTAAATCCCATCTACAATGGGGAGGAGGGGAATACTGCCATTTTGATTTTTTTTTCTTCTCTGAGTGGGTCTGAATATTGTGATTTGGAGTCTGGGTTTTTTGGGTTTTGGATTCTCGATGTTGCCATTGGTTGGTTTTCATCGAATTTACTAGTTTTCTAGGTCTTCTAGTATTTCTCATTTTGGTTTCACTTTAGGGAAATGGAAAGTTGGGTAGGTATAGTTGCGTGATTTGGGGTTTGGGTTCCTCATTTGGGATTTTAGATTTGAGAAATGGTGGACTTGTACAATTTTTCGCAGTTATAGTGTGTATGATCCATTTCATTTTGGTCCTTTGCTTAGAAATGAGATACTGAGATGATTATTTTGAAGTGTTTTTGGGCTTTGAGTTTATTGTTTTTGGAGAGAAGGGTGCTAGGAATGATAGGTTAACGTGAATCTTAGTTTTGCTTAAAAGCAGACTTTATATTCTCCCAAATTGTCTGGTTTTGGTGGAAATGGGATCCTTGGTGCAATTGGTTTCATGATTTTTGGTTTATATTCTGGATTTCCGTTTCGTATGGGGACATGTTAAGGTTTCTGAAAATTATGACACTGACTGTGGTTGTTGATCATGTAGATTATTCTCTTTTTTAATATGGAAATGGAATGGGACTCTGCTTGTCAGATCTCAGATTTTAGGAAGTTGTAAATTCTTCTGATTATGATATCTCTCTTAATTTGCTTGACATTTTCACTTCAAGGTTTGAGTTTGGCATCACGTTTCAGATAGGTGTGCTTTCTGTGTTCATGGAAGAAGGGAGGTAGTTTTACAAAACTGCAACCATTCGGATGGAAATCATTTTTTTCTTTTCTTTTTTATTGTCATTTCCTCTATTTTGACTTCAACTATGGTTGATAAATATCTGATGGAATAATTGGTTCTTTTTGGTCTTCAAATTTTCTGGGACATATTGATTTTGGATCAGGGTCTTTTCTCCCTTTTCATTGGAAATGTAAACCTGCATAACGTGAATCTTTAATACAAGATTGTTGCAAAATGCAAATTCTTTGTGCCGATACTGTTGTGGCACTCTTGGTGCAAGAATATTACTTAGTTTTTTTTTACCAGGGATTTTTTTTTTTCTGCGAGGATCCCTTGATCCAAGATTTTTGTGAAATTAATTTTCCATGTATTTGATGTTAGGGCAGTGATTACACCGTCCTGCAGACCTGCATTGCTGCTGTTTCCTAGGATTTTGGACCCGATGGAAAGTGTTGATTTCAATTTTGAATTTGAAAATTGCTACATAAATTAAAGGGTTTGCTTAGCAATATTTCAGTTCTGTAGGAATTGATGATAGTCTTCCCTTTTATAATCTCTTTTAGTTGCTCATGCATCTTGGCTATGCTGCAAATGTTGTGTTATAAACTTTTAATGTTGTTTTTATGTGCAGATTTTGAGTGTTCAGTTCTCTATAAAATTAGCCATGTTTTTGATAGTGTTTATGCCTTTTTTTTCTCAGCATACTTCTGAGTATTACTTAAGGACACAGAGGCATTATTGCATTGCCAACCCTATAATGCTGTCAAAGATGGATACCTTACACTGATCCTGCTGGAGTTGCACTTTGGTCATTTCTATTATATTTGGAGTTACACGTGTGATTGTTGCCTGTTTCTTTTGCTGGTTACTTAACTAAGCTTCATGGGTTCCCGATTCCCATCCCACCAGCTCAGTAATGGCCTCTACGTATCAGGCCGGCCTGAGCAACCAAAGGAAAGACCCCCTACAATGAGTTCAACAGCCATGCCCTATACTGGTGGTGACATCAAAAAGTCGGGAGAACTGGGAAAGATGTTTGATCTCCATGTAGAAGGCTCCAAGTCAAGGAAGTCTGGACCATTAACTAATGCTCCTTCAAGGACTGGATCATTTGGAGGTGCAGCCTCACACTCAGGACCAATCATGCCAAATGCTGCAGCTCGTGCAAGCTATTCTACATCAGGGCCTGTAACTTCTGGTGGGATCCCAGGTTCAGTTACAGGAGGATCAAATAGGCAGAAGTCCAATTCTGGACCACTTAATAAACATGGTGAGCCAGTTAAGAAGTCTTCTGGCCCTCAATCTGGAGGAGTAACTCCAGTTGTCCGACAGAATTCTGGTCCTCTTCCACCAGTACTTCCTGCAACTGGTCTCATTACATCTGGTCCTATTTCTTCAGGCCCACTCAACTCATCTGGAGCCCCTCGGAAGGTATCTGGCCCTCTGGACTCTATGGGATCAATGAAGCTACATAGCACCTCAATTGTTCACAACCAGGCTGTGACTAACCTTAGCCAGGAGGATGACTACTCCTTCAAGGGGAGCTTCCCAAAGCCAATATTGTGGTCGGTGGTTCTGTTGTTTGTGATGGGATTCATTGCAGGAGGTTTTATTCTTGGTGCTGTCCACAATGCCATTCTTCTTATCGTTGTTGTGGTTCTTTTTGGCGCTGTTGCTGCACTTTTCACATGGAACACTTGTTGGGGAAGAAGAGCTATTATAGGTTTCATTGCTCGTTATCCAGATGCTGAGCTCAGAACTGCAAAGGATGGACAATATGTCAAAGTCTCTGGGGTATGTTTCTTATTGAGGAATGTTGACACAACTTTTCTATCATACAAAGGACCATTTCTGATTGCTTCTTTTAGGTTTTAAAAGAAATATAAATGTATTTATGAATGGGGAGTTAGCATGAGATTGAGAACGTTATTTTTACTGGAAAAAATTAAAGATACTATTATAAAAATTAAGAGTGTTTTAGTTTGTTTCCCCCACTATCTTATCCCCTTTACTGTGAGGACAGGAAATTGAAAGAGAAAGAACTGAGAGAGGTGATAGAAGATGGTTATGTAAATTAGACACTGACACATGTATCGATTTAGAATGTTGCTTTTCTATGGGAGAGGGAAGAATTGAAAGGGACAGGAGAGAAAATAGGATAAGGAAGGGAGAAAGAGTCAAAATCTATGAAGGCATATGTTATAAATTCATAAGCACTAAACCTGTCAAAATATCTGAAGTTGAAAAAAAACTGTCAAAATATGATTGATGGCATCCCAGGCTTGCCTTTGCACTAGTACAAATAAGTTATGTCATCTCTGCGGAATAACTTCAGTTATTGCCACAAAAAAGATTGAGTTTATAGTCAATATTCCTCCTTTTAATTGTTTTGTATTTGTATTTGCCTACATACTCCGAGGTATTTATTTCAAGCTAAAATGAGTTGTGATTCTTGCAGGTGGTTACTTGTGGAAATGTACCCCTTGAGTCATCCTTCCAAAAGGTTCCTAGATGTGTCTATACATCTACGAGTCTATATGAATACCGGGGATGGGATTCAAAGGCTGCCAATGCAACTCATCGTCGTTTTACTTGGGGACTCCGATCACTTGAGGTGTGTTGCTTATCATTTATGGTATGGTTAAAATTATTATACTCTTATAAAAATGGTTAAAACCATTTTCCAACTTTGTCCAAGGTTTCTATGTAAAATTGGCCCTCATATTTGAGTTGTTTCTAGCCTCTATTTTAATGTTGTTTATGCAATTTATCCCTTTTATTCGAGTAATTACAGTAAATATTTGATATTGAATATTATTTATCAATTTATGGGCTCATTTATTACAGTTACAAATTTCTTAATATAATAGCATGCCCAAGGGGCAGCTTGCAAGAACTTTTCTCCTCTCCTAGCGACACAAAGAATGAAATGGAAAGAGTTTGTTTTGAAATTTGTCCTTCACTCTATTATGTAATCAAAGGCCACCTATAGACTGTTCAATCTACTGCCACCTCATGTGGGTAGTAGCCCATGAGCACGAGGTCTACAAATAGGACAACATTGAGGTTCTTAAGCTCAGTCTGTTTTTGCTCCCTTAGCTTTTTAATCTTTGTTGCTTGGATATTTAATAATGAATGTCCATGTCAAGCACTACAAGTTGTCCATGTTGTGTCGACAATGAGCTCAGCCTGACACCTTGTCCATGCTGTGTCCTTGCTTTTCCTGTGTAAGCATTGGTTTTAAACTCCCTCTTATGCTGTTGCTCATATCTTAGTCCTGAAATAAATTGGGGCTCAGTTGGCAAATTGTATGCTTCTGGCTATGACCAATTATGCTGTTTCCTGGCCACTGAATGGTTGCAGCCAACAGAAAGGGCATTTATTTACTAGAGTCTGGTAAAGGCGACTTTTTTGTCATTTTGGATAAACATGTCTAACCTGGATTGGAATCTTTCATTCTCTCTCTTGTTTTTTGTATTCTGTGCATTGATTGGAAGTTTCTGTATACCTTGGCAGAGACATGTGGTGGACTTCTACATTTCTGATTTCCAGTCTGGTTTGAGGGCATTGGTCAAGACTGGCTATGGTGCAAGAGTGACACCATATGTTGACGAATCTGTTGTTGTGGAAATCAACCAGTCAAACAGAGACTTGTCCCCAGAATTTGTCAGGTGGCTAAGAGAGAGGAACCTTTCAAGTGATGATCGTGTAATGCGCCTGAAAGAAGGGTAAAATTTTCACTCTGTAACATGAGCTGGTCCAATCCATTACTTTATTTGGCTTAAAGAGAAAATCGAAGAGAGCCTTTTCCACTTATGGTAAAAGAAAATTAGAAAAAATTAACAGGAGAAAAACAGAGTTGACAATTTGTGCAGAGTCCTGATGATGGGTTTTGAAAGTAGTTAAGTTGTTTGTTTTGTGTCTGGATAGGTACATCAAGGAAGGCAGCACTGTCAGTGTAATGGGTGTTGTTCAACGGAATGATAATGTACTCATGATCGTTCCTCCCCCAGAGCCGTTTTCAACAGGATGCCAATGGACCAAATGTATCCTACCAGCAAGCCTTGATGGTATTGTTTTAAGATGTGAAGACACATCAAAGATCGATGTCATACCAGTGTAGCAAGAGGGGTTGGGAGACAGTTTGTTCAGGTAATGCCGTTTTTGAAATTTAGATTGTTGGGTATTGTTGGTGGTGGTGATTGTGATGAATTTAGGATGGAGGTGGTGTTTTCCTTTTTTTTTCTTACTTGTATAGTTTCTGTGGCTTCTTTTCTTCTTTTAGGGTTTGAAAGCTTTTGTAATTGAGGTGGCTTCATTAATAGAAAACTTGATGTGTTTGAAGAGGAGATTGATTTTGGGTTTATCTCTTGAAATGTTTAGAAATATTGAGTAAAATGGGTTTGCCTCAAAACTCTCGTGATTCTGATGAATCATGAATCACATGATCCATTGCATGTTTATTGAATGGAGTTTAAATATCTGGAAATTACAGAATATTTTTCTCCAGCAGGAGTGTTAAATGTTTGCTTAGAAGAAAATATTTGAAACTTCATTTAAACTGAAGTTTAGACGATTGTAATTTGGAGGGTGTTTGGTTTCGTGGGCGTTTATTCAATAAATGCACTTTAGCAGTTCCCCCCTCCTGCTCTTTTGAACACATTTAGAATGGTAAAAGTGGATTTCGGTTTTTGTGCATGCTTACTGTTTGGGGAAATTATTTTTTAAAGTTTCCACGGTGTTTTTTCACTGTTTTAAATTTTTGGTTGATCAACTACTAAAGCCATCATAGAACAAAATCTGTTTGATAATTCCCGGCCATCTATTGGCTTTTCTCTATTGTGCTGCATTTGTGCTCGCACGCCTTGTAGGGTTGTAATTCTACCCGCCTGTGGAAACCCTGTTGGCTGGTTGCTTGTAGTACAATTTCATTTGCACTAGTACAAATGCATAACAGTGCAAATGAGAAAAAAATACAAAATCTAATTCATCTTTGCTTTGGGTTTCATTTTATGTCGCTTCAGGTGTTATTTTACTTCATTTTCAAGGCAAGCAAATAAAATCAAATCAAATCTGAAACAAAAACATATAAGAATTTACATTTACATCATTTTATACCAATGCAAACAAAGGTGAACCAAAACAGACCGAGCCTAAGAGCAAAAGATATGTTAATTGCTTTTCAAGTACTTTGGGTTGGAAGTCAAGCGGGAAAAGTAATCGAAGCTTCAGATGAAACTTACTAGTAGCAACAAAGGAGGTCTATCGTCTATGAAGTAAAGAACAATGGGAATTCAAGTAGTCTTTTGGTTTTAGTAAAGTGGCCTAAGGCCCTTTGGTGTGTACGAGTAAGTATGACCATTGAATGAAGAGATGCAAATCAAAATTGAAGGAGGGTAGTAAATCATAAGTTGTGGAGTTGGTAAATAAAATTCAAAAACCTAATAAAAATCCTAAGGTGGACTGAATTCTAAATTTCCCAAGAAGAATTTACATATGTAGCTGTCATTGGATTGGGTCTGGTGTGCAAACAGGGTGGAACTGGTCCCAACCCAATTATAATTGGGACACAACACTTATAACAAAAACTGAACCAATTATTAATAGGGATAGTTGGATACCAGATTAGACCTGATTATACTTTTCTTTTTGATTAGGCTATGTTTGGTTTGAAGGAAAAGTTAGGGAAAGAAAGGGAAAGGTAGGAAAACCTATACAAAGTTTGTAAAGGTTTCCCTACCTTTCCCTAGTTTTTCCTTCAAACCGAACACAGCCTTAAGGATTATACTTGACATCTATATCTATAATTACCTATAATATGACAACTTTGGAAGATGGCTTTTGATAATATAACATTAATAAAAAATAGCAGTAAATAGTATGTTGTCTATATGTTGATAAAACAAATGTTTTTTTTTTTAAACTTAAATTATGAAACTTGCCCTTTTATCCATAAAATATAACAAAAATTACAAGAAAATCATGAGACCTTTATATATTATTAACTAACATAATCCATTTGGGTCTTAATCAGTTAGGGACAGAAAAAATCCGTCTTCATTCAATTATAGTTGGAACACAAAAAACTAGAAGCATTTATACTAGTTCGGTTCAGTTTTACCAGATAGACCTGACCCTTTGAAAGATCTATTTACGCGGTGTTAGAGCCAGGTCTGGATATAGTAGGCACGTTAGGTATGCACAATGAGTGAGTACGGAATAACTGTGTGACACATGTCCTAGTTAATGCTCTTTCATCTAAACATTTTTACTCCATTGGATATAAATTATCCATTATTTTATTATCTTTGTCAAAATAATTAAAAATAAAAAACAATGAAAAAGGAAAACGTAAATGAGTCCCAACTCCCAACGCGTTTAGGTTTTCCTTTTTCATTGTTTTTATTTTTAATTATTTTGACAAAGATAATAAAATAATGGATAATTTATGTATAATAGAATAAAAATGTTTGGATGAAAGACACATTAATTAGGACATGTGTCACACAGCTATTCCATGCTCACTCATTGTTCTTACCTAACATAACATGCCTACTACATCCAGAGCCTGCCCAAGTCGATTCAAATTTTAACAAATCCCCATCCAAGTTGCATCCCTATTTGCATGTGCATCACCAATTTTTTCTATCACTATTAATATGATTTTTCTTATTAAAATTGTTTTCAACATTTGTAGTTTTTTCATATGGCTTCAAATCTTGGTTAGTTTTTAGACAAAGCCACCAGAATGATGGAATTTTTGTATTTTGCCCAAAATTTTGGATATAATATTTAAAATAATAACAATACAATTTCTATGATGCTAAAAATGTAAGATACCTGAAAAACTTTACCCAATGATAAACCCACATGAATTTGAGAGAATAGAAGTTGCCCTTTTGGTATCATAGCCTGACTCTCAAAAAAGATTGTCCAAAATTTCAAAATTTTGAAAGAAAAAATCATTGTAGGCCTAAGATCTGAAATGGCCAAATTTTCCAAAATTTAAAACGTTGGTGGCCTTGTTGATAGAAGAGACAATGGAAGAGACATAAGGTGAGCTAACGGCTCAGGTCGACAGCCTCATTCGGACTGATCTTGCTAACCCAAACCTAAAGTCAACAGATTGTACATCCACTAGAGGATGCATGTCAACAACCTGCTTCTTGTCTACCCATCTCTCACTGTCTTTTATGTACAAAGAGTATAGGGTTGGTTGATTTAACTTAGGTTAAACTTTTGAAGTTTTAGAGATAAAATGGTCTGACATTGTAGCTTTGCTTACGGGTCCATGCTGTACTCCATGGAGTACAAAGAGATAAGAACATGAATTGTGATATGTTAATCATGGAAGGAGACTGTAGTATGGTCTGTCAGAGATGTGTTAAAATTAGGTTAAGTTGCCATTTGGCAGGTCTTTTTAGGAAGATCTCTAGAACTCCAAAAGATGTAATAAGCTTTCATAATCATGTTTTTAAAGATCTTAGACCTTTTGATAAGTATCTTAATTTATCATGATTTACAAATCTGTTAAATGAAAGATTTTATATGCAAAAAGACAAGAAGCTTCACTTCCAGATTTTTGACCATTTTAGTTTTCCATCAGCTTTTTAGAAAATAAAGTCTTCCCGACTTTCTATCTTTCATTGCCAAACAGAAAGTACCAAATTCTAAAAAGCCCAAAAGGCCACATTAAAAGACTTGCCTAACGTCTACTGAATAGGAGTTAACAAATAACAAGGAATATAAATATAAGAATATAATGGGTACACATATGCAAATAGGTTGGCTTATACAATAGCCAAACAAAAAGGGTTAATAGGGATCAATTGTATTTGATTCAGTTGTAATTTAATGTTTTGTAGGAGAGGTAGCAATACTAAACTCTCCAAGGGATGCTTGACCTGTATATATACTTCTCTTCATAATTAATAAAATTTGTTGTTAATTACCAAAAACAAAGAATTTAAAAAACAAAGTAATTAGAGCACATCTCTAGTGACAAAAAAAAAAACACTATTTATCAAGATGGGCTTTCCTACAAGCAAAAGCTCTATACACATTCTGAAAGCATGAGAATACAGCTGTACATTCGGAACATCTTCCCATGAATTTAAGAGATATTCCAAATTTGCTTGTAGGAGTTCTAGGCTCATTGATTACAATAGAGATAGAAGTCAAAATATGGGATGTTTTTATCTTTCAAAACATTTTACATTTTGAGTAATAACTTGAGGTGTGATCCCTTTATATTTAAAAAAAAAAGAAAGAAAGAAAGATGTGTCAGTGCCCTCACCCGTGACCTGGCTTAACCTGGCCGGCATATAAACTAGATTAAAGTATGGCTGGGCAAGTCCAGGGTCAAGGCCATATCAACCTTGGCATAATATTATTGTATGTGAAAACACCTAATATGCCATTGTTTTTCCAATATTGCCCATGCTTATGTCATGGATAGGGGTGCCAACGGTATTCGAAAATCCAATTTCGAATTCAAGATTTGACATAATCGAATCGAAATTTCGAATATTTAATTCAGATATCCTATTCATACCGAATAGCTAATCGGATTCGAATTTGGAAATGACCTTATTCAATTCGATAAGTATCTAAATTCGATTGATTATTTTATTCTTATATATAATATATAAAATATTTAAATGTCTAATATAATTTATATATATATAATAATTAAATTATATGAATAATTTATATTTATATACTTTATATAAATAAAATATTTATTTTATATATTTATTAATTACCTAAAATAATTAATTTATCAAATTCAAATCGAATCAAATATTCGAATATTTAATCAGATTCGAAGTTAGATATTAATTTTCAAAATCCATCGAATATCGAATTCGAATTCGGATAATGCTTGATCTGATTCTAATTCAATCCGTTTACACCCCTAGTCATGGATGCCATGTCTTGCAATATTTCTTTCATAGCTCTCACCTGAAATCTATATGAGCCTTATCATGCACATTTTCGTTTATGGCGTCTTAATGGAAAAACCTATAGTTTTTCATAAATAAATAGAAATGAGTGCATAATGAATTTGGTTTTAAGCCAACATGGCCTGATTAGGCTGGCCCAATCTCCCTTAATCCAAGGCCAACACAAGACACACAGAAAAACCATTTTGGTACCAAGTCATAGCCTCAATTCACTCAAATAAAATATGTAACTTTTTTTTCTACGGAGAAGCACGGATACACCCAATGCAAATTTCTGATTCCCACTGCACACCTATGAACATTCAAAACGTCCAAAAACCACACCCTATGCACCCATACCCGCCTGTGAATTGGCATCAATTCCAAGCTGGCACCTACCCCAAATGTACTTTGAACCTAC